CCTTTCCTTTTCTGAGCCTGGAAAAGGTCCTGGAAGCTGCCTATTTCGCCTGCGCCGGCCAGGTGGGGGGGAGCGTTGGAAGGGTCCGAGTGAGCCTTCCAGGACCCTTCCAATGCACCCCCCCACCCCTCACGGGGCCAGTGGAGGTGAAATCGCCAGGCTCAGAAAAGGTCCTGGAATCTGCCTATTTCGCCCGCGCTGGCCCCATGGGGGGGTGGGGGGAGCGTCGGAAGGGTCCGAGTGAGGGTCTGATCAACTGACGGACAAGGCACAGACTCTCTTGTGGGTGGTGTGAAGAGGACCCTGAACTGTACATACGTATGCTGGTAACATCTCTCTTCATGTTTTGTTAGGTTTGCAACGCATGAAAGTGCAGCGCATGCTATTGTTTCCGTCAACGGTACTACAATTGAAGGACATGTTGTAAAATGCTATTGGGGAAAAGAGTCTCCAGATCTGACTAAAAACTTCCAGCAGGTAATTGGGGTGTTAGTATTATAATGTAGTATGGCCTCTGCATATATTTGTCCTAGTGGATGAGACCATTATGTGAGACCTTGATGGAAATATGTTTTTTTCATTCTTTTCTCTTGTCTAGTAAGCAGCAATTAATCAATGCTCAGCATGTTCATTATTATCTAAAATGTGACCTCTTTTTTAAATCCCCAGGTAGATTACAGTCAGTGGGGACAGTGGAGCCAAGTGTATGGGAGTCCTCAGCAGTATGGGCAATATATGACCAATGGATGGCAGGTGCCATCTTATGGAATGTATGGGCAAGCATGGAATCAACAGGGATTTGGTGTAGAGTAAGTAGCGCCATTCTCTCATATTCTTGCTTACCTATACTGTTCCTAAGAATGTAAGCTCTGAACATAACCTATGCCATCCTTCTTTTGGTGTTGTTTTTGCTCTTAAGCTGAACAATGTACTAAGGTGCTGGTTGACATTCTTTGTGAATTAGACTGTGGGCTTACACACGCTTCCCCCTGCAATTTCACCAAAAAAACACACCCCTACATTTCTCAGGCAAATTGCCTTGCTTAAACTATACTTTGCCTCCAGACAGAAGCAGGGTAGAATATAAACCTTTGACTTCCTGCAGCTGCTTTAAATTGGCAGTCAACAGTACCAGGTCTAGATGCAGCCATGATTCAAATCATAAGATCATGTTGTATGAATCCATGTCATTTTTAAATATGCAAAGTGTGTGGGAATTTTGAGATGGTTTTCGTAGACTCAAAGTTTAAAGTGATAAAAAAAGACCACCCACACATCAGCTCTTTAAAGGCTAATGTAAATTTATGAATTGTACTGTCAAAGAACTAGAATTGTTATCAATAAAACAATATTTTTATTATACCATTATTTGTAAACTTTAGAAAGGCATACAGGAAAGATAACATTTTTATCCCATACATGCACAACAGCTTTGAAGTGCATAACAGCGATGGATAGGAATTTACCCACTGCTGAACACTTGTTTCCAATTACTAGTCCCACAAAATGTATGTAGACATGACTGAAAAGAAAAATATAGGATTTGCTGGATGTTTATAGTGTTATTGAAAGATAATAGGGATAATTCCGTTGCCTAGCAGTTGGTATGTTCCTGTTACATACAATTAGAACTATCACCCTCTATGACTGGATAGCTTAGTGAATTAGGTACTGGCTGCAGAACCAGAGGTTGGAAGTCCAAAATCCCCACTGTGCACTCCAGAAGAGCTCATCCGTATGTCCTTGGGCAAGGCACATGGTCCTAGGACGCCCCCAGAAGAAAGGAATGATAAGCTACTTCTGAGTACTGTGTCTAGGTCAAACTTTACTTTGAAAGCATATCATTTTTATTAAAATATTAGAGGTAGATACCAATACAGTGGTGCCTCACATTACGACGTTAATTCGTTCCAGCGAAATCGCTGTAGAACGAAAACATCGTAATGCGAAAATAAAAAGTCAATTGAAACGCATTAAAACCCCTTCAATGCGTTCCAGTGGGCTGAAAACTCACCGTCCAGAGAAGATCCTCCATAGGGCGGCCATTTTCGGTGCCTGTGCAGTGAGGAATCTGTCCCAGCAAACAGCGGGGAGCCATTTTATTTACCTGGCAGCCATTTTGAAACCGCCGATCAGCTGTCCGAAAATCGTCGTTTTGCGAAGAATCAGTTCCCAAAGCAGGGAACCGATCATCACAACATGAAAAACCCCTATTCAGACCATTGTTTTGTGATCGCAAAAGCAATCGCAAAAACGTCGTAATGTGATTTTGTCGTAATGCAGGGCAATCGTAAAGCGGGGCATGACTGTATCTACAAATTGTAGGGAGAACATGTTTCTGTCAGAACATGTCTGGTTGTTTAATTGCCCAATAAATGATACATTGCTTTTCTTCTTTTGTTTTTTTTCTTAAACTGAAGTCAAGCACCATCAGCAGCCTGGATGAGTGGATTTGGGGCTCAGCCTGCCCAGGGACAAGCGGCTCCTGTAATACCTAATCAGGCTGGATATGGTATGGCAAGTTACCAAACACAGTGAGCTGGGACTCTGTTTAGAAGTGTGATTTCAAGATAGATTTCAATTTCCAGTGGTTGTTCTGAAGACTGGAATATAGACATTGGGGACTGGGTGGGAAGAATATTTATTTTGAAAATTGAAAAGTGTTTGGAACCTTTAGCACAGCATTTGCTTTGGTGAAGGACACAAAATGTCTTCTAGTTACGCCTTTTTAAGTTTGTGTTCATGATGGAGATGAACATGTTTTGTTTATGTACAAAATTGAAAATAAAGTCAATAAAGACAATTCTGACTTAAATTTTGGTATGTTGGGAAAAAATAACCATCTGATTCTTAGATTACCATTGGGTTGTTGTTTTTTTGTCTTTCTTTCTTTCTTTCTTTCTTTCTTTCTTTCTTTCTTACAATTTTTGGGGTTTTTTGTTTTGTTTTTTGTCTCCAGTGTTTTACATCACAGATTTTAAGAAAAAGGACATTAAAGATGCTTTTAGTTGAGCATAAAAACCTGACATTTTGGCAGTGGACCAAACATTACATCCAAGAAGAAGTTGTTTTCTTCAGTAACCACAAAGACATTCAGAAGACATACAGAAATTCATTTTTTATTTTTTTAATGTGAATTGAAGAGACTGAAGTGTGGTGTAAACACTTTAGGCTTTCCTGAAAAACATTGCTGACTGCAGTACTTGAGCAAACACTAGCCATCCACATTCAGGAGCAATTGAAAAACATCTAGTTTGCTTAAAATGCAAAATTATATTTAATTTTTAAAAGTTTGGTGCTTAGGCAGTCATTCTTGTTCTTTCATGTAAACATTTGTATCTCACTGCAGAAGCATATTTAGACATTGAAGTAGTTAGTGTAATTATTCAGCATAATGTAGTCTGCTGATATTTGCAGTAGATTGACATGAATGTGCAAGACACTTCCATAGCTGGCTACAATGTGAAGTGAAAAAATACTATACAAAGAGCCTTAATATTAAATTCCTAAGTTCTTAATTCAATTTCTTTTATCATTAGTAGTCTATACTTTGGTTTATGTTATTCCTTATGCAAATATTTCAGTTAAAAACCTTGTATATCTTCTTCAAGGTTCCTTTAAATTGTATAATATCTGAGTGTTAAAAAAAACGTGGAATTTTTTAAAGACTAGAAATATTTAGCCCAAGAACTTTTTTAACCAGATTGTTAAAATACCTTATTTTAGAAATTCCTGAATTTGCCATTTTGGTTAACAGATGCAGTTTTTTAAGTATGTTGAATTGCGGCTTACTTTTAGTTAAAATGTTTTTGGATTTTGGTGTTGGTTGAAATGAACCTGTACAGAGGTTGGGTTGTTCATGCATTGAATATTAATGGGGAAGAATCATGAAATTGTTCTAATAGTGTGCTTGGGTTGTTTCTCTTTTAAACAGATACAGTACACTGAAACAACTGTCTCAATAAATTAGAATTTAAGAAAATGAATGTAAGTTAGATGCAAAGAACTGCATGTGTTGCACATAACAGCTAGATGGTGCACATGCTTCACTCTAAATTTGACCATGCCAAAACCATTACTGAGCTGAACAATCTGTTTCAGTACTTTTAAAAAATGGCTTACATTTTGGTGGACTGTAATTCCAGAAAAAATATGGGAAAGCCTCATACTTCGTTTCTTCATTAAATAAACCGTGATATTGAGTAACAGTATAAAAAGTCTTATATACAAATCTAGCTCAATTAAAACAAGGATCAAGTGTTTTTTCCTTTTGACCACCTCACTTTTTGGACAACACTAGCAATTCTTTACAGTAACTCCTCTAAATTGGACACAGAATTGATGGTCCTTGTTGTTTGCAATACACTAATCTCTGTGTTGTATTTAAAATATTTCTAAAGTTTCCAAATTTGGGATTTTTAAGACTGGAAAGTTAGGGGGGAAACTGAATATTGCCAATGCTTAGGTGTGAAGTATTGTTCATAATGAAAATCATGAAAGAGTTACTATCACAAGAGTTTACATCCCATAGTTTCATTTACATGTGAAGCAATAAATGGAAAAGTAACAAATGTTAGCATCGTCCACAGTGATTAACCTTATACCAGCCTTCCCTAACCTGATGCCCTCAAGACGTTGCAGACCACAGCTTCCTTTATCCTGACCATTTGTGCTTGGGCTGATGGTTGTTGTTCAAAGCATCTGGAGATACTAGTTGAAACAGTCTGTGTTAGATAAACATATTTTGAAGCTTGTATATTAGAGTCAGTGCTATATCTTATATTGATTTAACACAGTACTCCAAACCTGAAGTTTTTAATAGGCATTATTTGTTTTCTATCTTCCTTTTAGTTTTGAATGAGAGTCAGATTCTAATTGTTCCTCTCAGTATATTAATCTGTCTAATACCAGATAAGTTTTCCTCCATCTTTCCTTCAGATTTTACAGCTTATTCAAGTTACACAATCCAGATACCCACCTGAAAGAGGACATGGGTAGAAGCTTACATTTCCGTCTCTACTGAAAAAAGGAGCATAAAAGCCCTGTTGATTGGATTTGGAAAGAGGAGGTTTCAGAAAATCGTAAGAATGCACTTTCTGCAGGATTCACAGAAGATGCCTCTATCTCACTTACCTTTCTACCTCAGCACCCATGTCATAGCCCAGTAAAGTTCCCCTGGCTTCAAGGGAGTATTTTTTTGGAATGTAGTATAGAGAAATGGCATGGAAAAATCAGCTTCCATTTGCTCCCTTCTATAGGCACATATTTGAATCCAGACGTCATGTTTTGACCAGCGATGCAGTGTGATATAATCTGTTCAGAAGTACATATGTATACAGTTGCACCCTAACAAGACATCTTGGCAGTTTTACATTTTTAAGATGAAAGTGTTGCTTGCTCAAGTATTTGACCAACTGAACTGGGTTTTTTAAACATCAAAGTATGTCACACTGCATCCCTCCTGATTGTTTTACTGTGTTGCAATTAACCTGCTCCCAGGATTGCAGAGATCAACTGTTACCACATCTCACTGCAGGATGTGGAACACTGATGAGAACAGCATGAAGTCCGAAGTACATATGGTAACATGGATTAAGGTTTCAATCTACATCTGTTGAAAATGTTTCAATAAAACATATTACAGATCTATGCTACATTACTCATATACATTTTCTTTGTACAATGGGCCTTACAGAATGGCATTGTCATGTGCTTGAGCCATATACGTACATTTCTGTTAGCATCCTTAATTTTCTTTTACATGAAGATAATTACTCTGTTCTAGATTCTTTGTTAAAAGGAAAACCTTTTCATTCTTTTGACATAGCCATGTATAAAGAAATTCTTGTTCATCTAGATCTCTTCATCAACTTTAAATTTCAATTCACTATTATAAAACTTTTTCTCAAGGTAAAATAATCATGTATATCTATGTATTAAAAAGTAAAGAATTTCCATAATCCTTCTAGAAAGAACAAGGAAAAGGCCTTGTTCTTTCTGGACTATATAAGGTATCATTAATGGCCATGAGCAGCAGCATCTACAACAGGAGTGGGCGGCATATAAGTTAAATAAATAAATGGGTCCCCAGCCGCCAGTCCGCAGCCCAGTACCAGTCCGTGGCCTTGGCAGGACCAAGCTGCAGAGATAGATATTCCACACCCCACACGTATGCACAAATGGCCCACCCACCTGAGCATGCGTGCATGGGTGCCCTGCCCATTCCAATGCGGCCCCATCCATGTGCACGAGTGCGCCCTGCCCACCCATGCATGTGTGAGTGCCCCACCCACCTGTGTGCGTGGGGGTGCCCCCTCATGCACAGACCCCACCTCCCAACTGGTACGCAGTTTGGGAAAGGTTGGGGACCACTGATCTACAAGATTCTCAACATCAGTTACGTGGATTTTTTACATCAACCAGAGGTGACTGCAACCGAGAAATACATCTTGTGCTCAGTAGGTAAAAACATCAATTTGCCTAATTTAACACAGCGAGCTTCACCTACAGTACCTGGTGAATAAACAAAATTATAACCCCTAACTTGTGCTGGACTAGAGGCAGCTATATCTCTGTGCTGTTTCTCCCCATCCCCATAGCCAAAAAGAAACTCCATGTTTCAGACAGGTGTGTGTGTGTGGGGGGGGTGCAGTCACAGAATAATTGGCAGCCTTTTGGTCTTAAGACCAGAGGTGCAAAAATTCCAGCAACACTACAAAGCTGCTCAAGACAGCAGCCTCAAGAGGACTTAACATCATCTCTCACAGACAGTTATCGATTTCTGGACTTTTTTCTACCATTTTTGTGCTAAGTCTGAAGAAATGGAATTTTATCCACAAAAGCTTGAAATTTGTTTAATCTTTAGAGGTCCAATAAAAGGTATAATCCTTCTGAAGAGGCTGCGTGGGAAACTCCTCATGCCACATAGGCTTACCGGGACATGTATACATGAAGCTGTTCCTTATACTTAACTATTAGAATCTTTTGTGTTAGTGCAAAGGAATGTGTGAGCAATTTAAAAGACTGTTTTTAAAATATCAGCTCTGATGCTGCATTTAATATTCACTTTGTTAAACAGTTTTCACTGTAAAACTTCATATTAAGGAAGGAGAGCCTCTCAGTGCACATACGTTTTTAAGTACCAGCCTTAAGACAAGAGCTACCTTGAATTATAGTGATCAGAGTATTTTTGTATTTTGTTCAATGTCCCGATTTTTGCCTCCAAAGATGAGCCTACAGCAATATATTGTAGTACAGAAAGAACTGTTAATATTAATTATTGTACCATACCTCTACTAGCAAAAGCTTCCTTTGTTAGATATGCTGGAGCTAAGCAACAGGAAGCACATGCATGTGCATGTAGTGGTGCTAATGTGTGCACATTCACACGAAGAGAAAGGGGACATAATCTGGGATCTGATTAACCTGAAGTAAAAAACAGGATGAGGAGAAACAAAATGCCTTCAGTAGTTTGGAAGATGAAAGTCAAGTGCCAGGACAAGCACTGCTGTACTTCATCTGTTAAACTTGCTTACTATTAAATGTTCCACAAATATGGTCACCAATAATGACCAGAATTCCTTCCTCCAACAGCAATGTAGATGAAGCCAAAGCAAGAGTTCCTCCAGAGTTTGTGCATTGCCCTCAGAAAAAGGAATAAGGGTATCAGTTCATACCAGGCAGAGCATCTTGAGTTCTCAGTACTGAGTGGCTTATATGAGATGAGTTGAAAGCAACCACAAATAGCCAAAACTGTGGATTATACATATCTTCTAGGACGTTTATAGTAGCATATTCACAAGATTCTCACACAGT